CAAGCCAGTAAGCAGCACCCCTCCATGACCTCTGCCTCAGCTCCTGCCTCAGGTTCTTGCCCGGTTTGACTTCCTGTCCTGTCCTCCTTCAATAATGAACAGCAATATGGAAGTACAGGCCAGATAAACCCTTTCCTCCCTGACTTGCTCTTTGGTGATGGCATCTCACTGCAGTGATAAAAACCCCAAGTCAGAAAGCGTTCTCGGAAGACAGGTGAAAAGACAGGGATTGGAATCCAAAGCAATCTGAAATTTGTTCTTTGCCTAGTTTAGGGGAAGATGGCTGGCTAAGGGAAAGATCTCTCACCAAGCCTGCTACCAAGCTACATGGGCAATGACAGAAACGTTTTCCCTGAGACACAGTTGCTCACACAGAGCTCTGGTGCTCCGGGAGTCTGAGGGGCTTCTCGGAGGTTCCTGAAGGGCTGCAGAGGCCACTATAGACCCTCTCTATGAATCATCCCGGGTGGAGTAGAAAAGCCTGGGCTTCCTAGGTCACATCAACCTGGACTCCAACTCTAAGCTTCATAGAGATGGTGGTACCATCCATGCCGTTGAATGAATCAATGTGTTATCACACAGATGCCTAAGGACACAGCATGCAAGAATGCGTGTGATGTGTTGGCCATCTTTTGTTCCCTATAGTTTATTTGAAGCAACTGTGCCTCCTGTCTTTCAGTTGGGCCCCTATTTGTCCTCACCCTTCTCCTGACCATAGCCTTAAATTGGACATGTATGGGTAGGAGTAGCTGCTTCATCAGCAGGGGTCACAAGAGAAAGGTCAGTTCCTTACTAATAGAGATGACTAGCGGATCTTTGGGCTTGAGGTTCCATGTCCCCAGAGAAGTGACAATTCTCTCAGAAAGTCATGTAGTGGAGGGAAAACCTCACTTGCATCCCGTTCCATGACATAGGTTCCTCTTGCTGTCCCATAGGAAGGACATGCACGAACTCCCTGCAGAAGGCATCTCACCCTGAGGGACTGAGTGCATGGGACACCTCCCTCCTGCCCACCCGCTGCATCTCTCTGCCCGGGTTCTTGAATGAGATCAGACAAACAGATAGGTCACTGCACCAACTATCAAGTTACTTGGGTTCAGAGGGCAGATCAAAGGGATTTGCCTTTGTCAAGTTCTAACTCTGATTTCAGTTCATTCCACAGACAACAGCTTCTTTCCTTCCTCCCCTGAGCCTGAGAATAGACTGCCAGCAGTAAGCTCTCAGCTGCAGGTGATCCCTTACCCAGAGAGTTCGGGGTGTGTAGAAGGAGAGATGGAGCGCTGCAAGCCTACGTTTCTGCAAACTCTCAGGGACACACCTTGCTCATGCCTTAAGCAGAGAGCCTAGAAGGCTTGCTTTAACAGGGTGTTTGAAGGTCCTGTTTTAATGGGGGACATGCAAGGTGTGGGCTGACTAAGATCTTTGAGAGAGACCTTTTCTAGTTTCCCAACCATAATGTCTGACCACATTGATAACGCATAGGAAACATCTCTTGGGTGGGTGGGTCGATGAGTATGAATGGACCAATAGTTGAGGGTGGATGGATGGAAGGATGACTGACAGCTGATATTAATATCAAATGCACGGTATGAATGGACCAATAGTTGAGGGTGGATGGATGGAAAGATGGCTGACAGCTGACATTAAGATCAAATGCACAGTTGGAAACAATGATCAAATAATATGTAGTTCTCTAAACTGGGGTTAGAACAAAGGTGTGGAGAAAGACGGCAGAAGGTGAGGATGGAAAGAGAAATAAGAGAGGGAGTGGATAGTGAAAGTTGAGAAAGAGTCTCCACATTCCCAAGGCGTTCTCGTGTTATCTGGAATTAATCTTAACACGATTTATAAGTGTGCCCTATCTCCTGCAACAGACCAAGGCAGGTGTGCCCAGGCCTGATGTTTCTCCCATAACCCTGAACTTAGTAAAAGGGCTTTATCCACAGGAATGGGGATAACAGCTCCATTCACCAAATCTCTTTCAGGAAGCAGATACATCGTCTGGGCCATCTCGCTCAACTCTCTCATAACAAGCTTATGAGGCCAGCCCTTCAAGACCCCTGTGTAGAAGAAGAGGATGGAACACAGGGGAATTATAAAAATGCCCATAGTCACAAATGGTGATTGAGATTAGGTGGCAAGGACTCCAGGCTACCAAAGACCATGCTCTTGACCAAAGATGATGCAAGTCATGTGAAACCTGAAGCACAGATACATGCATGCACGCATACATACATACATACACACATACATATTTTTCTTTTATTGTTATCTTTCTTTCTTTTTCTTTCTTTGAGATAGATTCCCACTGTGTAGCTCAGGCTGTTCTGGAACTTGCTATATAGACTAGACTGGCCTTAAAGTCAGAGTAATCTGCCTACCTCTGCCTCCCAAGTGCTGGGATTAAAGATGTGAGCCCCCACCCCTATCTGTGTTAATTTTTCCCTGTGTATGTTGAGGGTGCACATACAGGAACCCATGGAAGCCAGAAGCACAGGTTGGGCTGCCCTACATGGGTACTAGGAACTAAACTCAGGTACTCTGCAAAAATAGTGTGTGTTCTTAACCAAGTCATCTCTTCGGCCCCTGAAGCTTATACATTTTGAAGGTTTGTGTGTATGTGTGTGTACCTACAAAAATTACAAAAAAAATGACAATGTAAATATTCTGCTGGAACCCACTAGATGGTCATGGTGGTTTGAAAGAAAATGGCCTCCAACAGGAGTGGAACTATCAAAAGGTGTGATCTTGTTGGCTTAGGTGTGGTCTTGTTGGAGGAAGTGTGTCACTGTGGGGGCGGGCTTTGAGGTCTTTTTCTCGGGCTTCCCTCAGCATGACAGTCAGTTGACTTCCTGTTGTAGTCCTGGACTCTCGGCTCCAGTACTACATCTTCTGGCATGCCGCCAGGCTCCCCATCATGATCATAATGGGCTGAACGTCCAAAACTGTGAGCAAATCACCTTCAAATAAATGTTCTCTCTATAAGAGCTGCTGTGGCCGTGGTGTCTCTGCACAGCAATAGTAAACCCTAACTGAGACAATGGCCTTAGAAGGGGGTCACACAAGCGAGGGATACAAAAGCTCAAACTTCACAGTGACTCTGCCTCTGAACTTGACATACTCCCAAGAGAGGAGAAAGGAGAAGGAAGAGGAAACTATGTTGGAACGGTGAAGAAAGGATAAGGAAGGAGTCAAAGGCAAGAGAGAAAAAGGGAAGAGCATACAGGAAATCTAAAGGGAGAGGTGGAGCTGGTGTGTAGTTCTGTCAGGAGAGGGAAGAGGGCTTACATAGCACTCGCAAAGCCCTGGGTTTGACCCCTAGCCCTGCACAAACCAAAAGCTATGATGCACACACCTTATTCTCAGTATTCAGGAGGTAGAGGCAAGGAGACCTAAAGTTCCTGTCATCCTGAGCTAACACAGTCAGTTATAGACCAGCCTGGCTACAGGAGATGCTGTACCTGACGCCCCCCAGAAAAGGCTGAAGCCACCACCAGAAGATGGAGTTATGGCTTAGCTGTTTGCACCAGGTCCTGGAAAAGGCAGGCCTGTTTTCTGCAGGCCGCAGTGCCTCCATCTCTGCTGTGCGTTTTCTCCCCTTGAGTATCACAGCAGCCTACCAAATCTGGCCTGCGTGCCTCCTTGCCAGGCCTCTGCCCTGGTTCCCAGACTCATCTGGGAGCTGGGGGCCAAAGCTAGAGCAAGAAGTGCTGAGCAATGATCCTGCCACCAGCCCTGCCTGCAGCAGCCCTGCCCTGCAGCAATCTTGCCTGGGCAGCTGCCTGAAAACGTAGGCCAAATATTTATCTAGGTACAGACAGAAACCAAACAAGGAAGGGTGAGCTGCAAGAGGCCTACGGGCCCCTCACTGCCCCACTGCTGAGATTCTCCTTTGAAAAGAGGGGCCTGACTATTGAAGCCATCCCTTCAGAGATCTCAACGTGGCCCCAGACTTCCTGCTTTCAAGGTCTTTGCTCCAGGTTAGGGAAGAGTGAGAGCCTTGTGGACTCATTAAGCCCAGAAGACCTATAGGGTGGCCTCAGATGGAGCCAAGGCTACTCAGCATTGACCAAAGCTGGGGGCTGTCCAACCCCAACTAAACCCCCAGAGCATTCTGGTGCCCGGTCAGAATAGCAACCTCTTTGCCTGACTGGCAGGAGGAGAGGACCCAGGCTCCAGCAACCACTTTTCTTCTGTCAGAAACAACTTCGTCACCCTCAATGGTCAAATACAACAAAATGTTCTCGGTGAGGTTACTGTAAAAATGAAAGAGATGACACATAGAAGCACATTGCTAAATAGAAGTGCCAAGACATACGGCCGACTGTTCTCCCGGGAGAATCAGATGGGAAACAGAGTGCAATCTACATTTTCAACTTGAACATGATGGTAGGTTTTCCCCAGAAAGTCCACGAGTGACCAGGTCCCTTCCAGCTCTATGGTCTGATCCCGAGGTTCCCGTTTGTACAGCCCCTGGCTGGGAGAGGTAGAGGTCCAACCATCCTAGGTGGCAGGGAATCAGAAATGAGCCTGTGGAGACGGTGACCTGGCCCCAGCTGTAGCCCTGGTGACTTTCAACAATGTGAAAGGACACTAGCAGAAAGCTCACTAGCCCCACAGCATCACTCTGGGTCCAGGGGATGACAGAGCGAACATCTTCTTTAGGGAAGAGATGCACGAACCCCCAATCCTATTGCCTGGCACGAGCCAGCAATCTATTCTTTCAGCTTCCTGCAACTCCAAATTGAAAGTGTGTGTGCGCGCATACACACACACACACACACACACACACACACACACACACATAGTAAAAAGACGCACAACTGGAGGAAAGAGAAAGAAAAAGTTGTCTGCCATCTCCCAGCCTCAGCCAATGCCCGCCTTCCTGCCCTCTGGTTGGAAGGAAGGCATCCAAGTGGGCAGGCTTCTCTAAGGACCCTAGGTGTGTCACCTGTTCTAAGGTCTGTGAATGACTCCAGGTGTTGTCCCAACCCTTCAAACTGGGTGTCAGGTTACAAGACGCATAATCATTCCAGTTTGACAACTTCACCTGTTGGGTTGTAGGAACTGACCAGCCCCAGAGTCCCCAAGTCACTCCAAGACACAGTGGCGGGAGGAAGCTGGCTTGCTGAAGGAAGAGAATGCTGGTCGTCAGGAAGCAAGGGCAGCCTTGCACTTGGGCGCCCTCTGACCAGTGCTGACCCGGGCTTTCTGACCTACTGGCTAACGAGACTCATTTGAGGACCCCTCCTGCTGCCTTGGGTTGCAGATCTCGGCTCCAGGCTGTAAGAAAATTAGGATGATTACCAAAGCAGCATGGTAAGTCTAGGGCCCTCGGGCTGGGGAGGGCAGCTGGCCATAAAGGGCCCTTCAAGTGGCCCATGGGGCCATTAACTGAGAATGTTGTGACACCTTCCAGGTTAAAAAATATAGGTCGTAACCGAACACCTCCACTCCCAGCCCTTTGTGCCCATCATTAGTCATCCTTGAAGGTGGGCACAGAAGTCAGGGCTGTCTTTGTCCACCAATCGCTTCTAAATCATGCTTGTTTCTTTGTGTACTATCTCGGGTGTGTTTGCTGGAAGATGCGACTGTTTCTTCAAAACAAGGGCTGCTTTGGTGCCACAGTGGCCCTCGGACACTTCCTAAGAAAACTGACTCCTGTCATTTTAAAAGAAAACAGTAAAGAGATGCCCCCAAAACATTCAGGGATGTTTGTGGGGCCTTCTGCTTGGTCTCTTTAGAGCTCACCTCCATTGAGTATCCCCAGCATCTTCTGTTGTTGGTTTGTCCTTTTAAGGGGGACAACTGAGGACCAGGACAGGGGATGAGCCTAAGGTGGGAGCCAGGGGGTCTTGATTCTCCAATCCTCAGCAATTGCTCACACATTAAAACGAAAGGGTCGGAAAAAGAACCAAGAAAAGGGTATGTGATACCCAAACATTTCCCATGACCCTCTAGTAGAAAGTCTGTGTCCAGCTGAGGGCAGAGTGGCAGGACCACTTGGCTGTACTGGACCAGAGCTGCCTACTACCCAGTCACAGATGGTGCTGTGCAGAGGTGTCCCTCACCCCAGGAAGGGGTCAGTAGGTAGAAAAGGAGCAGTGTCAGCCCTCTGACCTTAGTAAGCCATTGCTGAGTGGCACTGGGGAGCCCTGGGTTGCCTCCTGGAGGAGTTGCTGACTAGGGTACCCTTTCTGAGGCAGCTAACAGAAATAAAACCTGTGGTTCAACCAAGGGGCTAGCTCTCTATACAGGTCCCGAGACTTTAATTTCACTGAGTCGCAACTCACTCCCCAGCCCTGCAGAAGGAAAACAGTGTGGTCCACGAAACCCCTGGAACACATACGGTGAACAGAGAGGCTGAGCAAACCAACATGGGTGAATAGATTCTGTAAACCAGGAAGCCTGAGCAAATGTAAGAACTGTACCCAATTCAGGAAGTGATAGCCAGGACCACATCTCACACTGCCCCATTGCCAGCAAGGAAGGAAAGCTTGGTGTTGCTGAGGAGGGTTAAGGCAAGTGGGCACCATGGGTGCAGGGTCAGGCCAAGGATCATGGAGCATAGGCGGGCAACATGAAGGCTAGACTGCAGAAGAGAATTGCCAGACTCAGGCCCTGAGCAAACCGCTAAGCTACCTGTGTGTAACAATCTGCCCTTTCCCACTGGTGGAGCCAAGATGAGCCTAGCTCCCAGTCCATTGAAGAGAGGATGGGGAACCCAAGGCCTGATTCAGCCCTCCCTGTTTCTCCCATTTGTTCTCCTGCCTCTCCCTGTCAGAGTTGGTCAAAGTCCGCATGGAACCGCCTCTTAACAATGGTTTCCCTTGCGTTGATTTAGCTGGTTATGTCGAGAGAGCACTAGAGCGGGCCACCAGCCCTGGGCAGAGTAAGAGCCTAGTGCAGGGCCTGGGCAGGACTGTATCAAATGTGCTCTGCACGGAGACCAGAAAGATCTTTGGGGATCCCTGGATAGCCATCCTGCCCTGGACTCATTACTCTCAGGAAGTACTGAGCACACCATGAACCAAAGACAACAGCATTATATCCAAGCCTATGAGCCAAAGACGAGGGCATTATATCCAATCAAGGCAAGAGCGATAACACCCAAGATCAGTTTCAGTCCTTCAAGGTGCTCCCCTCTGTCTCTTTTCCTTGCCAACCTATACAGTCCTAAAGTATTTGGTGGGCTTGGCTGGAGGAGTGTGGCAAATAAACAGGTCAGCCCGCTGGCATAGGGACCTGGTGACATGTGGTGCCCCGCCCCTCAGCTGAGCCACAGAATCCAGGAGACCTCCACTCTGGTGACCTCATCCTTGACTTCGGGGTGGCTAATTGAGAGTTGGGCAGTAGACAGATACTGGTGAAGTACCAAGAAAGCTCTCTCTTCATGTCTGCTTCCCCAGCTCCCTCTCTCCCTGAGTAAGAGAATCTGTAATCACCGTGGCTCCAGGTAGCCAGCTACTTTTTTTTTTTTTTTTAAATTCACCCTGGCCACTGGCCAACTGTTAGGCGAGGGGTGGGGATGCTGAGACAATGTCTGGGTGCTCCCTCCGAGGCACTCACAAAAGAAGATTACAAGATATTCCTGAGCCAAAAGGGCAGATCACTTTAGGGTGGCTGGATGCTATCCCAGAAGAGAAAGTGTTTGCTTTGGACTTCTGGAAGGATAAACCAGCTCTCTCCAGGCATAGAAGCCAGGAAGGGTGTTTATAGAGAGAGAATTGATGAGCTGACAAGACAGAATGGTGGTACAAGGACAAGGGACAACATGCAACGGCTGGAGCAATATGTTTGGGGAGCAGAGAAGTCACAGGGTGTGTGCAGTCTGATCCCTTTACCGGAGAACTCGGTCTCAGAGAGCTGGCCCATGGCTCAGAAGGCAAGGCTGGAGAAGGGCCCCGGTGCCATCAGCTGAGTGGCCTTCCTCCAAGGGACCATGTTTCCCACCAGGCAAGAGCACGGTTTCCATTCCTCGTGCAGTAACACAGCCTGCCTCATCAGCACCAGGCCCTAGGAAAGCACTGAGAGGTGAAAGCAACACCTCCAGAGAGCATCAGGTCATCAGGCAATCCCCTTACCGGGGCATAACTCACGCGTCAGGTCTCTTGTCACAAGATTCTCACCTATGTGATAGAGAAAGCAAAGTTCACCAAATCCAACTTTAAAAAAAAATGCAGCATCCTACCAGAAAAAAAAAAATGTGTTTTGGACCCTGAAAACAGAAGCTGGGGGTGAGGGAAGAACAGGCCTGAGCCTGCTAGGGAACCCCAGCAACAGAAAAAGGGAGAGTCTAGCAAAGACAGTGTGGCAATCCCCCTGTGATGTATTTAGTGGCACCGCCCAGCCTGCCACTCTGATTAAACATCATGATTGCAGCAGAAAAACTGGTAAACAGATCTCAGAACTGCAAAACACCCTCCCCTCCTGCTGGCTCCCAAGGTTCTGCTCTCCAGCTTCTAGCCTAATCCACGTGCAGATGGAAACTCTGAGGAGGCAGGTGAAGAACACTTTCTGGAGGAGGTGGGTGACAGAATGAAGTGGCCTGAGCAGGGTGCAGAGGGGTCTTTGGTCATGGGGTATGCTACACGCCTGGCTGGTGAGACAAAGGTGCCCCATGCTCAGTCAACTGGCTGTGGTCTCAATTTCTCCCACTATAGCCTGCCGGCTCTAGTTTCTCCACTACCCATCTGGGAACCTGAGAGTTTGCCATAGATTAGGTTCTAAAAAGACCCTGGAAGGCCAGGAAAAGATTCAAGATCTAGACCCCAGGTTCCAAGGCTGCACGGAAGGAGCAGAGTCAGCTAAACTGCTCCCCTCTTTCCAGGAAGAACATGGCCCTCCTTCTCGCACAGATGCCAGCAAGAAGGGAACAAGGAAGTAAGTGAGGCACCTTTGTCCCAGTGCCACGCTGACACAGGAGACACCGCCACTGGCCTGGCCTGAGAGCTGGAGTCCCCCATGTCCTACAGAGCCACAGCAACTGACTTCTTGCCTCTAACCTGATACAAGAAGCTCAGCCCCTGCGCTCAAGAGGGACTCTGATATGCAGGGTCTCCCTCTGAGTGTGACAGCAATTCTCTGAGACTTAGAAATCAGGAAAGGAAGGCACAGAGAAGTCAAGTGAGTTGAAAAGGGTCACTCAGCCTCTAAGAGGCAGAGTTGAGACTCCAAACCCTGGAGGTCTCTTTGTCTCTCTCAGGTTGCAGACCCATGGGACCAGCACATGGCATACCCTGAGCCACTTCCAGACTAGGATACCCCATTTCACTACCTCCATGCTGCTGGGCTTTATAGCAAAGGTGCACATGAAGTGGAGACACTAACACAGAGGACGGAGGACGAGCTCCCCTTAAGATGCCAAAGATCACAGCAGTGGGGGCTCCAGGGAGCAACACACACGGAAGGAAGCCTTTGGGCATGAACCTTCACGAAAGCTGAGACAAAGTTTCACAGCCAGTCTGCTCAAGAAAAATTACCCATATTGCCATGAGACCATTAAGGAGAGAAAACTGATTTAAAGGCAAGCCCAGTATGGTGGTGCACACCTGTAATCCCAGCATTCTGGAAACTGAGGCAGATGGACCGCCATGAATTTGAGAGCCGCCTAGCTACCTAGCAAGTTTCTAGAGAGATGACTGTCAGTGAACTGGTCCTAACTGACAGTAGAAGCTGCGAGCCAGCAGTCCTCCCAGATCACAGGCGCCGAGGAAGGACCTATGAGGCCCTGTGTGTTCTAGCCTCAGAGCCCCACTGAAACCCGATGCAGAATTCCATAAGCAAAATAGAACAGCCAGCGTGGCAGCGTTTGGAAGGACTGTGACCTCACCCACTCCTGTCCCACCTACCCATCCCCAGCACTGGTGGGGCTCTGCCTAGTAACCTAGAAACTACTCCCAGGCCTACCTGTCTCCTTGGGAAATTCCTGCATGGCCCAGCTCCTATTCACAGACATCCCCCGACACACACACACACACACACACACACACACACACACACTTCTAGGAAGTGCTTCTAGCTGCTGCAATCTTCCCTCTGCCAAGAGAGTGCTGCATGACCCCCATTTATCCTCAGAGTCCTCTTGAGCCTCTTCCGTAAAATGGTTTGAATGGTCGTGTTTGCTTTATCCTTCTGTCTGTCTTTGCTTCTCTGACCTTCATCTGCTACCTCCTCTTCAGAGAGCAACTGATGTCATTCAGTTCAGGTTTCCTAACTGTCCTGGTTACCCTTGGGCCACAGTCTGCCCTCCTGACATCAGACCCCTGAACCTAGAAAGCCATCAAAATAGCTGCCCGGCTCCTGTCACATCCAGACCA